GACTGACAGCAGCTAACTTACCAGATTTTAGGAAAACATACCAAACATCATTCCTTTAGCGCCACCCTCAGGCCGAACTTTATATTTTTTACACCACTTACTGGCTCTAAGAATAGATAAATCCTCAGAATGTTAATTCTGTCTAGAGTGTGTGTACTGATGTTTGTGTGAGTCTTTAATCTTTAATCTCTCTGTATACTGGAGGTTTTATTCCTGGTTTTCTCTGTATTTTCATACTCACAATAATGGCAGGAAAGCTAGAGATATTTGCTGTAACTCTACACACACACACACACACACACACACACACACACACACACAGGTGCGCTCTCTCTCTCTCTCTCACACACACACACACACACACACACATTCTTTTAAGCTGATATTAGGCTACAGATGAGATAATGAAAGGTTGTCTGAGGAGCAGGTGGCAAGAGCTGATATTACTGCCTTCCCACAGGCACTCTGTGTGTGTGTGTGTGTGTGGGGGGGGGGGGGTGCGTGCGTGTGTGTGCGTGCGTGCGTGCGTGCGTGCGTGCGTGCGTGTGTGTGTGTGTGTCAGAAACACACTCTTTATCCCTGGAAAAGACAGATATAGGGCAATCTGTGGGATTAAAATACCCACCAAGGTCATGTGGCTTTGCCACTGAAACTCACACACGCACACACACACATTCTTATATATCACCACCTGACTCCAGGAGGTCAAGGCCACAGCTGTCTGTGTCTCTGGGGTCAAAGGTCACTTGTGCTCAATTGAGCTTTTACTTTTTCTCTTCTCATGTCTGTCCATTTCTTTTTTCTAAAAAGAGAAACTGAATTTAATGACTGACCTATGTGAGGAAGTCAGGGACTTAAGTAAATGAATAATAAATGTGCACATGTCCTAACAAAATGACAATCATAATTCCTTCAGAAAATGAGATGATTTTTATAGCAGATAATATGTCTTGTGTCATTTATTTGTGTCCTTTGGGAGTCTTTCAGGACTGGTGTGTAAGGGTTATGATGTTTATAGTTGTCAGTATCAGGTATTTTGTGGTAGTTTCATGGTCCAGTTTTAGGGGTTTGTCTTTATTTCCTTCCTTCAGCATAAGAATGGCATAAACCATTGGTTTCATCATAAGGAACAAACATTTCAATACTGTTTAAACCTGCATTTACAAGCTGTTATCACCTTTATAGTTATATGGCAAACATGTGGGCAGTTTGCTATTGGCTATTGGTCTCCAGCAACTCCTGAGGGTAATTTCTGTCCCTTTAGTTGCTGTCTTAGAGACAGTCAGTCTCTAACTGTGTCTGTCTGCTGTTTGCTTGATTTGAGTGTTCAGAGTGTATAAAAACATAAAAGTCTTGGGCCATAAAACCAAAACAGTGAGCTGAGAGATGCTAAAACCCTCTGTAAACAAACAAGAGTTTGTGATAAGTCTCTGTAGTGTCATCACTACGAGCGATGCCTTTCATATAAACATAGTCATTGATCCGTTGTTGATGCAAAAGTACTGATTTGCCTGCTGTGCTGTCGATTTCCTTCTGGAGCAGGAAGAGCTGCATTCCAAACTTATAACCTGAACTGTTATTGTGAAGCACAGGAACAACACTGTGATTTAGTCCAAAAGGAATAAAAGGCTTCATATACTCACACAGATACTGTGCATGTACCTGCATGTTTTAATGTTTTTTTTTTAGGCTGGAGCTTAATCATTTGCTCTGGAAGTGGTTTGAAAAAAGTATGAACATGAGCATGTGTCTGTGTAACATGATTTTAACTGTATTCTATCTCCATTTCCACACACTGTGTGGCTGCCTCTTTCTTCACTGTTCTTCCTTAATAATTTGGAAACTAACCCAACTAACAAAGATGCGGAGAAAACAGTTTTAACCAAACCATGATTTAGGAGTTCGCCTCTAACCTCTAAAACAATGTCAACAGTTTACAGCTACACCAAACCGACATTAAAGAAACTAGTGCCAATGAAGGCAGACTGTTGAATCACCCCATGTCACCTGTGTCTGGGCCAAAAACTTGCACTTGAGCACACAGCAAAGACTGTAGCCAATGGCCAATGACCACATACAGTACAGGCCAAAAGTTTGGACACACCTTCTCATTCAATGCGTTTTCTTTATTTTCATGACTATTTACATTGTAGATTCTCACTGAAGGCATCAAAACTATGAATGAACACATGTGGAGTTATGTACTTAACAAAAAAAGGTGAAATAACTGAAAACATGTTTTATATTCTAGTTTCTTCAAAATAGCCACCCTTTGCTCTGATTACTGCTTTGCACACTCTTGGCATTCTCTCCATGAGCTTCAAGAGGTAGTCACCTGAAATGGTTTCCACTTCACAGGTGTGCCTTATCAGGGTTAATTAGTGGAATTTCTTGCTTTATCAATGGGGTTGGGACCATCAGTTGTGTTGTGCAGAAGTCAGGTTAATACACAGCCGACAGCCCTATTGGACAACTGTTAAAATTCATATTATGGCAAGAACCAATCAGCTAACTAAAGAAAAACCAGTGGCCATCATTACTTTAAGAAATGAAGGTCAGTCAGTCCGGAAAATTGCAAAAACTTTAAATGTGCCCCCAAGTGGAGTCGCAAAAACCATCAAGCGCTACAAGGAAACTGGCACACATGAGGACCGACCCAGGAAAGGAAGACCAAGAGTCACCTCTGCTTCTGAGGATAAGTTCATCCGAGTCACCAGCCTCAGAAATCGCAAGTTAACAGCAGCTCAGATCAGAGACCAGATGAATGCCACAAAGAGTTCTAGCAGCAGACCCATCTCTAGAACAAGTGTTAAGAGGAGACTGCGCGAATCAGGCCTTCATGGTCAAATAGCTGCTAGGAAACCACTGCTAAGGAGAGGCAACAAGCAGAAGAGATTTGTTTGGGCCAAGAAACACAAGGAATGGACATTAGACCAGTGGAAATCTGTGCTTTGGTCTGATGAGTCCAAATTTGAGGTCTTTGGTTCCAACCGCCGTGTCTTTGTGAGACGCAGAAAAGGTGAACGGATGGATTCCACATGCCTGGTTCCCACTGTGAAGCATGGAGGAAGAGGTGTGATGGTGTGGGGGTGTTTTGCTGGTGACACTGTTGGGGATTTATTCAAAATTGAAGGCACACTGAACCAGCATGGCTACCACAGCATCCTGCAGCGACATGCCATCCCATCCGGTTTGCGTTTAGTTGGACGATCATTTATTTTTCAACAGGACAATGACCCCAAACACACCTCCAGGCTGTGTAAGGGCTATTTGACCAAGAAGGAGAGTGATGGAGTGCTGCGGCAGATGACCTGGCCTCCACAGTCACCGGACCTGAACCCAATCGAGATGGTTTGGGGTGAGCTGGACCGCAGAGTGAAGGCAAAGGGGCCAACAAGTGCTAAACACCTCTGGGAACTCCTTCAAGACTGTTGGAAAACCATTTCAGGTGACTACCTCTTGAAGCTCATGGAGAGAATGCCAAGAGTGTGCAAAGCAGTAATCAGAGCAAAGGGTGGCTATTTTGAAGAAACTAGAATATAAAACATGTTTTCAGTTATTTCACCTTTTTTTGTTAAGTACATAACTCCACATGTGTTCATTCATAGTTTTGATGCCTTCAGTGAGAATCTACAATGTAAATAGTCATGAAAATAAAGAAAACGCATTGAATGAGAAGGTGTGTCCAAACTTTTGGCCTGTACTGTACATTCTGCGGCTGTGTGAGAGGAAATAACTATCCATACCAGCAGGTGGTCTGTATTCATCATTCAAAAAGGGAACCCGGCAGACCTAGGACTGCAGATATGCAAGTCCTTTTACTTGCACAAGAAACAAGGCAGCGTTTGCCTACCATTTTCACACTACTCTTGTTCCGTAATATAGCTACTTCTAATTAATAATATGTCTGATTAAAAAGTTGCAAATGAGAGGAGCCTTCTGTGTGTGCTCTCTTGACAAAAGTTGTTTGCTGGTGTTCCTCACTTCTGTTTCTTTTCTCATGCACTGATTTGCTTAAGCTAAACAGCCAGTCAGAATGATTTCTCTTCCCAACGGAATCAACATGCTTAATCAGCCGTTAAGCTACCAACAAGGGCCGACAAGGGCCGACTAGTGCCAACGGTGTGGGATACAACACTATGGTCTCAAATGTGCACCGACAACCCAACAATACTCCCAGTGGTTTGCTTTTGAAAGGCTTTTAATGTGAAACATTAGCAGGACTGTTTGATTAGGACTATACATAGGTTAACAAGTGAAGATTTAAGCTAAATGTTTTATGTGATCATGCTAAAATACTTACAGTGATGTTTAGAGGGTTTATTATTATTATGTTCACCTTGTTAGTTAGGATCCTAATGTTTGCCAATTAGCAATAAACACAAAGCACAGCTGAGGCTGAAGGAATGCCATTAGTTCTGCATGTATTTGGTCATAAACCAGAGTATTGGACACATTAAAATGTTGACCCGATGATGGCATTAGATGAAAAGTCAAAGGATCACCAAATTTAATACAGTTCATCCTCTGGGGAACATGAATGCATGAAGCAAATTTCATCACAATCCATCCAATAGTTGTAGAGACTTCTCACTCACAGCCATGAATCTGAACTTCAGGATGAAGCCAGATAAAAGTCCAAGGATCACCAAAGTCACTAGGATTCATCCTTTGGGGAAAATGAATGTCTTCAATAAATGGCAATCCATCCAATAGTTGTTGTGATGTTTCAGTCTGAGCCAAAGTAGAGTAACGACCAACTGACATTGCCATCCATAGAGCCTTGTTTGCAAATAGCATTTTTTTAATTTAACAGGTTTGATCATTTTTGGGGGTTTTTTTGTATCTTGTGGAAAGGAAAGCATGTGGACAAGGAAACTTCAGTATATCACCATGTCTGACTGTTTATCTTCTATGTGTGAAGAGGTCAAGACGTACTTTCAGGATTACAGGATGGCATTGTCATGATTTATATACCCACTTTATCTTCTCCCTCACAGGATGTCTACCATTCTCACCGGCCAAAAGAAAAACTTCGCCTGGACAGCAACAACAATGAGAACTCAGTCCCCAAAGACTTTGACACCATCGACAGCAACAGCAACCTGGGAGCTCGATCACAACGCCAGCGAGTGCCAGTCGCAAACATCAAACGCAAGCTTGACAAGGTCCAAGCACAAAGCATGCTGGGAAAATCTGCAAACGAAGTCCTCAAGTACCCTCCCATCCAACCCAGAGGTTTGGGTCACAATCATAACCGAACCAACATCCATAAACCCCACCCTCAGGTGCCAACCATCCCAGCACCGGTCCAGGGGTCCAATCAGGATCCACCGCTGTACCAGGAAAAGAAGTCAGCCACGGCGCTGCCACCTGGTTTGGAGCCGAGGAAGGAGCAGCCGCAGTGTGAGATCAGTGGGAAAGAAGCCATTTCTGCTCTGTCCCGAGCCAAGAGTCGCGAGTGTCGGCAGCAGATAGTGGAGGTCTACTGCAAGCACAAAGAGAGGGCGCTGATGCCTGAGAAAGTGCCTCGCTACTGCCCCATAGAAGGTGAGATCAGAGAACCAATACTTTATGCATATGCAATATGCATTTAATAATAGTGTATTTTATATTTATGAAAAAAAGTCCTGAAAAACATACACATTTAGATTAAGATTAAGCTTTATTTGAGTTAGCAACCAAACTCCTACTTTTATGACACATTTGCACAGCTGCTTTAGGAACTGTTGGGAAATTGTAAGGGGGAAAGGGGGATCAAAAAGGGCAAGGATTATGCATATTTTTCTTTTAGCTGAAGGTAGAGTAATAACACTGTTTTAGCTCCTCTTTCCAACCCAGTATTGTACAATCCCATACAGTAAATGTGTTTCAACTAGAGCTGAAATGATAGTCCATTAATGAATAAGTCAATTGATTAGTTGCCAAACATGCTCTAGTTGCACCTTCTCAAAAGTGAGGATTGCTGCATTTGTTTTATGTGATATTTTAAGACCCCTCCAGTGAAAATCAACTTTTTAACCTCATTAACATATCCATATAGTGTTTTATATGTTACAAGACATATCATGAGCTACATAAGAAGTCAAACCCAGACTTCTAGGGTTTGTTATGTTATAAACCCAAGGAACCAATCCTTTAATTCTACAGTCACCTCAGCTTGTCAGCTGGTCATCAGGAGATGATTTATCTAACATTGGCAACACATTATTAGCTGTTTGATAACATATTCAAGACAAAGGCTCATGTTGTATATTGCTGTTTACAAGTAGAGGTTTGTGTGTTTGATGAGCTGAGTCAAAGGTGAGCAGGTACATGTACAGTCAAACTGCAAGCAGGGGGGTGGGAGGTGGGCTAATTTGCATATTTATAGATCTGCACATACTAAGCCATTTTAGTACATGAAGAGATTTTTTAATGGAACAACTGGAGTTACCGCCTTGCAGTTGTATGCCTCTGCGAAAGAAAGAAGAAATTCCCTCAAGCTGAATGAAACAGACAGAAAGATGGATGAACAACCTGAAAACATAATGGCTCCAGCCACAGCTGTTGCCAGTGCAGAGATATAAAAAATGAAATAAGTAATTTTGATGAACAGAGTTTTTTTTAAGAGGTTTAACCAATGCCAGGATAGGAACTTGAACTAAATGCCTTTTTTGACAGACCAAATGATTAATCAGTTAATAAGAAAAATAATCGTCTGGTCAATCAACAAAATAAATTATTAGTTGAAACCTTAAAAAACTTGCTTCATAAGAAAAGTTTAAAGCTTTATTTTAGACAACAGGCACTGTTGGCTAAACATTAGTAGATTTCTTCCTGGAAGTTTAAGTCTACAATATGCATTATTTCATGTAGCTTCTGATGTTAGGTTACGTCAGTTAAAGTCAAATCACGCTGAAAAAATCTTTTTATTTTCCTGTTAGGCTGAATTTGTACCAAGACTGGTTTAGCATATTTCCAGGTTAATGTAGTCTAAACTTATGGGTGTTATCCAGAATATGAGCACACAGAGTTATTGTGCATAGTTGGTTTATGTGTATTAACCTATGATTTAAGGACTGATTCATCCCCTCATGGTAACATAGCTGGTGATTGAGCCAGTCAACAAATGAAAGGGTGACAGCCTGAAAGACAGAAAGCGAAGGAATTGGGCGAACATGCAGCTGCTTTGAAGTGGCAGGTTGCAAAAAAGTCAAAGATGTTCTTTTTTCCTAAATTTATCCTTTGGGAAGCATTTTTAACCCGGCACGTGCCAGAGCCAATGAAGAGGCATCCAGTTTGTTTCCAGTTCTATTTTCAGGGACTTAAAGCATGGATGGACACTGCATGGATGATACCCAACCAACGTAATTACACCCCAATTAGAAAAGCAGTTTGTAATCTTATTTTTAGAAGGGCTGACTAATGATTTACTTGTAGTCATGCTTTCGGAACCACCCTGAGCCGTTTGAGGTTTAATTTATATGATTATAGGTTGCTTTGATGATACACTAGTCATTATATCCACAGGCTCAAGCAGCAGTGAAAGATGATTTGGTTTGACATTTGAGATTGACTGACGTGTGCTCAGTCTGTTAAAGAGAACAAGAGGGTTGTTGAAACAAAGTTCTGTGCATCTGTACTCATGCAGACATAAGTATACATCCCTGTCCATGCACGACATCGCTCCCCCTGCCTCCCTCTGTCTGCACAGCAGCGCTCTACTGAGCTGCCTGATTACAGTCATTTCTCCTCAAACTCGCAATCCCAGCATGCCCCAACCCGGGAAGGTCACTAATTAGGCCAAGCAGGCCTCAACCCGCGCCATCTTTAGCGTGATGATGGAGAAGCATTAGGCTGTCAGAGGGTTTATATATACAAGAGGCAGATTTAGCTCAGCCAGCCACAGACAGCACAATCTTTCCAGGAAAGATGGAAGTGACGGAGTGGAGAGCAGGGTTCACAGTGACAGTGATGTTGTCTTGCAACCAAGAAGCAATAATGCAACAAGTGGTGTCTGCCTTGCTGTTCTCTTTTCAGATGTGTGACTAACAATGTGCACTGAAAATTGCTGATTAGGTCTGTTTTGTTCCAATGAATGTATTACAGTTTACATTTGGACCGCAGGAGGGCTGCCACGATTTTTTACAATATTCAATAAAAAGTCAGAAAATTGCGGAAATTGCACTTTATAATTTTGTGGAGCCCAGTGTGATGTTTTAAAATGGAATTTTTCTGTCAGACCAACTGAACAAGCTGGACCTGAAGAATGTTCTTCAAGAAAAAGACTTTTTAAATGGTTGCCAATTATACCCACCACCTGCTGACATGAACTGTATTTTCAACAGGACATGAACACATCAATAAAAGCATCATTAGATTTAAATCATGTTACCGGCCCTTTACAAAATTTTGTGTTTCATGAGCTGAAGACCTTATCCTCTCTGTCCAGGTAAGGCTAATGTGAATGTACAGTGGGATGAGGAGCCCTCAGATGCTGCCCAGGTCATGCCGGCACGGATCGCCTTCGTCCTGGTCGTCCATGGCCGAGCCTCTCGTCAGTTCCATCGTCTCTTCAAAGCCATCTACCACACCTCGCACTATTACTACATCCATGTAGACCTGGTGAGACTGCTGACTTTCATTCTGTGTCAAAAGCATCCAACAACTTCTTTTTTGGGAGGCATTACAAATGGGGACATCATCTTCATAAGCCAGAGCCAGAAAAATAGTGACAGATGTAAATAAGATGGACAAAGCTATACAGATTACTTACCGATATACTATCCCTTAAATCAGAATATTTCTTTAACTGACATGACAACCATACAGGACAAATTATATATTTATATACATATAACATGTATGATAATATAACCCTTCATCTTCTTCTGTTCTCTACCCTTCTCAGAGGTCAAACTACCTCCACAGAGAGGTCCTGTCTCTGGCTGGCCAGTATCCCAACGTCCGGGTGACTTCCTGGCGGATGTCCACCATCTGGGGCGGCGCCAGCCTGTTGACCATGTACCTACGCAGCATGGAGGACCTTCTGAAAATGAGTGACTGGTCCTGGGACTTCTTCATCAACCTCAGTGCTGCAGACTATCCCATCAGGTGAGAGACTGGGTCAGCAGAGGAAGCAGCTGTGGGGTCACCTCTTCATTGTTCATGTTTTCATGTCATTATCACAGATAACAGAAACACAGGACCAGTTGTTACCATACTACAAACTAACGTGGCACAAAAATGGCCCTTAGCAGACTCTTTAATTCGTAAAGGTTTGGTTGAAAATTCCCTCCACTGTTCCCTGTTTTCTATCCCTCTAGAAGACTGTAGGAGATTTATCGATCACGTCAAGTTTCATCCAAACACACAGCACATTGATTTGTTAAAGCCTTGTTTGGTTTGTTTAAGGTCTTATGGATCAGGTTACGTGGCCAATAGACCTCAAGTGCATCGACTCTGAATGGATTGGGAGTCTATAGCTATGAAGCAGAGCCCTGTTAATGGCTGTCTTGCTGCTTGGGGATTTAAATGGGATCTGTATTGTTGAGGAAAGAGCTTGGCTGTGATCAGTGGAGGTATTGACTGGTGATTCGCTCGCTGTAGCTGCAGCAGTGAAGAAGTAACATGTAGAGGTTTATGGAGGTCATTCTTGTGTTTGGCTGAGGTCCAGGTGGTTGTGTTTTTACCAGATAGCCAGCAGAGATGGGCCTGTTGCAGCTGAGTGTTAGTGAACTCAGCTGTGTTCCAGAAATGGAGAACTACATATGAGCTCGCTTTGACCTCTGTGGAGCTCCTAGATCTCGACAATCATGTATAAGTAATTTGAGCAAACAATGAGCTCTAGAAAGAAGTACTTGGATTAAGTTCTAAATCAGTGAAATTAGTACAATTCCGTCGGCCCATTTATAGCCAATGGTGGTGCATCATTCAGGACTAATCTGATAAGGGTAAGGGTCCCTTAAATACGGAAAAATGTCCAATTTCCCAGAATGTAAATTGACACATTCAAATATCTAAAGAATATTTAATTAACAGTAATGTGAAGAGAAAATCTCCACGTTGGAGAAACTAAAAACAGATAAACCAATAAATTCTATGGTTACATGACTAATCAATTAAACTCCAGGAATTTGGTGACACCGCTGGACAGCTTTCAAGCCAAGTCCCCAATTTAACCATATTATCTAAACCAAATTCCTTGGAAGCACAAACAAACTCTCAGTTGTAAATGTCCATTAGATTTAGCAAACGTTCGTACTTAATGTACATGATTGTGTATGCATGCAGGTTTTATGGACATTTTAGGTGTGGCTCTGTTTTGCTTCCAGTTAAGGAGTTTAGATATGACTGGGTTAAGCTGGGGTTTGTTTAGAACATGTAAGATCCTCTGGCAGCTCGTGTTGCTGCTTAATTAAATTTAGGTAAAATAAAGTTGATTGCTTAAACCTTACTACATTCTTGACCCCAAACTCAAATCCTATTCCCAAACTAACCTTTTCCTCCAAAGTGTGTTTCTTTTTAAAGTGCTAAACACTAAACTTCCTCTTCTTCCAGTCTCTGAAGACTTACAAAATAGTCTGCGTTGTAAGTTCTATGTGTTTCTACTCTTGTGAGGGCTCACACAAATGCAAGCACACTAATCCATTTATTGTCCTCCCATCAAAGTGACTGTTTGAACACCCTTCCAGCTAAAATCCATAGCACATCCACAGCATTTACACAACACCATCGATAGCTGTGACATCACTGACGCACATGCAGAGTGAGTCAATGGAAGTGTGTGTGTGTGTGTGCGTGCGCGTGCATGCGCGCGTGTGTGCGTGCGTGCGTGCGTGTGTGTGTATCCACTGTATGTTTCTTTGTCAAGAGAAGGTCACACAAACATTTTAAATATCAAACACAAAAGCAGCTACCTTCAGAGGATCGGACATCTGACAGACTGATTTTAGCAGTGGGTATAATATTGGCTATACTTTTACATGAAAGCAAATGCCTGCATAAAGCTTGTAGACAGTGAAAAATAAAGGGAATTTAAAGGAGTAGTCCAAGTGTTCAGCCTGATTTATGGCAGGACGCTTGACACTTTTCATAAGTGCTGCTCGACAGAAATTAAACTGTCGCACATCGTTTTCAATTTATGCTTCAGTGAAAGGTTTTAAGCTGTTTTCATGGTAACCCAGACCCGCTGCACTTTTTTTATTATACTCAGAGTCTATTTTTGTCACGTTTAGTAATGTTTAATCACAGACAACTGTTTAATCACACAGATATCCTACTCTATATATTTTTAACTCAGTAACGTATCTACGTTACATGCATCAGCTCCCAGTCTGTCTATAAGCGGCAGATTCCTCTCACTTGCTATGGAGGGCTAGGAAATGAAATCAGTGAACTAGTCTATACAAACAGTACAATACATGTCTTCCTGAGGAGCTGACATGAAAAATATATTGGTTGTGTTAATGTCTGCTGTCAGTCAGCCTGGTGAAGGCAGTTTGACTGGCTGCTGTCCTCTCAGCTCCACAGTTGCTGCTGCTGACAGAGGGCTGCCTCTGTGGACAGAGCCGCTGAATGCAGGTGGGAATGGTGTAGATTGAAAACTGCCATCTCCATTGCAATGATAGTAATACTACCAATCACATTGTGTGACAAAATATGACGATGTGCGCAACATAACCAAATTCTACTGGTGCAACATAAAAGAAAAGTGTCCAATGACACTTTTTTCTGTCAAGAGCTCAACCATAAATCAAGCTTTATATAAGAAGACTGATACTCCAGTCAACTAGCTTAGCACAAACACTGGGAACAGGGGGAAACAGCTAACCTGTCTAATTCGAACACCAGCACCTTTAATGGAGCTCTATACGATATTCAGAGCGTATGTATGATTCAGTCTGAGCTAGGGTTTTCTGCTTACAGTTCTCAACATAGAGCCGGCTGAGCCGGTGGTCAGCAGCTTACGATGCTTACAATGCTAACTGCAACATTATTGACCGAGCGAAAAGCTTTCGTTGCTTTTCATATCACAGTTTCTCATCCCCTTCCTGTCCAGTGAAAGCCATGTATCTCCAATGTGTTTATTTTGAATGTGTGTGAGTGTGATAAACTAAAGGGTGAGGTGTTTTTTAATTTAATTCTCCCACTTCTTAAGCTAATAAACTCTTTAAAAACCATCATGGATCAGCTGGAAAATGCATCATCACAAAGCTGAAAACAGGGCTGTTTTTCTGACACCATGAAAAGCTAACTATTTAGAAATCTGCTGCTCTCACGGATCACCCAAGCTACAAACAAATATCCTATAGAATATAATGCAGTGCTGTAGATTGAACAATGCAACATTATTTGAAGTAGTTTCAAGTGGACTCTTTGAAGATCAGCCAGTGAGCTAAAAGAGATCCATGCAGCAGTAATATTGATCCAAAAACATAATTTATAACAGCTGGGAATATCTTACTGCACAATGAATACTTTAACTTTTCATACTTAAGGTTTGAAGGTTTAGAATGCAGGCCTTTTACTTGAAGTGGACTATATTTACAGTGTGGAATTAGTACTTTTACTGAAGTGAAGAATCTGAATATGTTGTCCACCAGTGGACGCAGTCAAGAAATAGTTTAGCAAATACACTCCCATTACACTTTGTTTTTTGTACACACATTATATGCAAATTAGATATAGCATGCTAATCAGTGGGCTTTAGAGGTGCTGGCAGCTAACTGGCTGCTGGCTGTAGCTTCAAATTGATCATAGAGATATGAGAGTGCTGTCATCAATAAGCAAACTATTCCTTCAGGTATCTATAGTCTAAATTCAGCTATGACAATTTAAAAGATCATAATTTGCAAAAAAATAAAAATCCTAGATGAGAAGCATCTTCTGTGATATATGACCATATGTTGAAGCAGTCTCAGTCAGATTTAAATGTGTGTGAGTAACTGATGAACACAAACATGCCCACAAACGCACACATGCATGCCTGCGGTTCGTTTTAACGACTGTAATCAAAGCGATCCGTCTGTCTGCTATCCTGTCTACTCTCTGGGACGACAGCAGGCTCAAGCCATGTGCTTACAGCTCACACTACATGCAGGGAGTGGCTCTTTGAATGTGTTGCCTCCACTTCAGGCCCCACACTGCAGCGGAGCTGTTTGCTCCCAGCTGGAGGAGGAAGCTGAATAAACTGGTCCAGCTGTCCCAAATAGAGTCACTTGGACTCACTCTAATTCCCCTAAATGGAAGATTGTTTTGCATTGTTTAAAAGAAAGACACGAATCGTTTAAATATTTAATTGCATCCTGCCTAGACGTGTATCCATTAAAGGGAAAAATCCCCCCTTGAGCACTGTTTAAAAAACAGCTATTGGGAATGTACATTGCTTGTGTATTTCATGGCTTACTGGTGTATTTCTCCCTCCTAAGAGGGAATTTTTGGCCTGATGACAGTTGGAAAGTTAAAAGCATTGACAGACATGAATGTTTCACTCTGCACCAAATTTAATGGCCATCCATCTAATAGTTGCTGAGATATTTCAGCGTGGATTAAAGTGGTGGAATGATTGACTGACATTGCCATCACCACAACCACTTAGCTAGAGTCACAAAAAAACAAAACATTGTATCTGCCCCATAAATCAATAAAGGGACATATGAGTGTAACCAGAGTTTATCAGTGTGATGTCAGATCTGCAGCTGATTGTCTTGAGTTGATGATTGACAGCAGCTGTCTCCCTTCAGAACCAATGACCAGCTGGTGGCTTTCCTGTCCAAGTACCGTAACATGAACTTCATCAAATCTCACGGCAGAGACAATGCACGGTAAGCGAGAGAGAGACAGTCTGTCACTCTCTGTGTCTCTTGATCACAGTTTCTCTCTCTTTTTCTTTGATGTTATTTTTTGTAAGCAAATAAATTGTCTTGAGTTCAATGCAGACTTTTGAACAAAATGTAAAGATATTATTGCCATTCCCATGAGGAAATGGTTTATTAAAAACATTGTAGTTTAATTGAGGTTTTAGTAGTAGTTTGCAGTTATTTAGAAGGTGTTTTAATATCTAGTTAACTGCAATATCAGGTGCAAGTTGAATTATTGAGAAAGTGTTATTACCCTTGTGCCTTTAATTCTTCTAATTTGCTTTTTAGATTCAATGTACAAGTAGACCTGCAATGGATTAGCCAATTAGTTGATTAACACAAAAATTAGTCAGTAAAAATGCCCCAAATTACAGATTATTAGGTTAATCCAGTAAAAGGACACAAGATGTTAGGACATCTTTTCTTTTCTACGTCTTTCTTGCTAAAGCAATTTATTTATTATTATTATCATCATTATTATTATTTATTGATTTATTTAAGTGCTGAAACTTTAGTCTTTTTTTTTTGGTTGAAACTCAGGTTTGGTCACAAGGGCACTTCAGGGTTCAGTAACTGATCACTGGCTGAATAGTAAGCTTGTCTTCACTAATTAACTTACAGAGATGCAGTGCATATGTCTCTCTACAGTTTGGAAGTAAATCTGTCTCAGCTGAAAGTATTTATACAGTATGTCAGTTTGCGTAATCAGCTAAACACTGGATGTCTGTGTGTCTTCTCAGTTTCATCCGTAAACAGGGTCTGGACCGTCTCTTCTACGAGTGTGACACCCACATGTGGCGTCTTGGGGACCGCAAGATCCCAGAGGGCATTGCGGTGGACGGAGGCTCCGATTGGTTCCTGCTAAACCGGCCCTTTGTGGACTATGTGGTCAACTCCCAAGACGAGCTGGTCAGCAGCATGAAGCGCTTCTACGCCTACACACTGCTGCCTGCTGAGGTAACGCACTCGCACACACATAGTCAAGTAACCCTTCAGACTCAAGATACAAATACAGCGCATGTGTCTGCTGGTGTTCCCTAGAGGAGGACATGATTATCAACAGCATAATCCATCTTGTAATGGATTTGTCATCTACAAGGACATTTACTTAATTGCAGTTTTGAGGTACTTGTTTATTACTTGAGAATTTCTCTTATGCTACTTTATACTTCTACTCCACTACATCTTAGAGGGAAGCGTTTACTTTTTACTCTAAAATAAACTGGTGTGTTACTTTGCAAATTGTGATGGATGTTTTGTTCTATTTTTAATTCTAAATTCTAATTTTTAAACTTTTTTTTTTTTTTCAACTTTTACTAGACCAGGAAACTCTCTCTTTATCAAGAGTGTCCTGGCCAAGAACTTTGAGCACCACAAGCCGAGTGCCATATAGTTTCATTATATTGTAGAGAAGGCAGACCTCTCTATAGCCGATATCCCCAACACTCTGCAACTCACACCAAAAACAATCTAGATAAATAGTAAATGGTGCCACAGGTAGAATGAGAAATATGTATTTTATATTTAGGGGTGAACTGTCCCTTTAGGACAACCTAAGAACGGTCTAAAACCATAAAAATAACTCAGTCCTATGTCTTATTTTGTTTGTAGATAAGATATTTTATTGAGATTGTAAGATGTGTATAAACTTGTCTGTCTCCCTGTGCTCGCCTCCACCTCCAGTCGTTTTTCCACACCGTGCTGGAGAACAGCGCACACTGTGAGACCATGGTGGATAACAACCTGAGGCTCACCAACTGGAACCGCAAACTGGGGTGTAAATGCCAGTACAAGCATATTGTGGACTGGTGTGGCTGCTCACCCAATGACTTCAAGCCCTCTGACCTTCCACGCTTCCAGGTGAGAAAAGATTTTCTGGGCCAACTGGCTAAGTTTTTAGAGACTTTTGAATATTTCACAAAATCTGAACATTATTATTGGATATATGTATACTGAAAGAATCAGGCATGTGTTTGCCTGCTCGAGCACTTACACAAATGCATCAGGTCGGGTGAAATTCTGTCACCAGGCTACTGACCAAGATTAAGGGCCACTATACTAGTGGTGCTGCTCTGCTTCACTAGTATAGTGGCATTTGCACACTGACCTGTGACTTGTGAAGTGTTAACAGCGAAACGCACTATAAGTAATTTGGCAGAGGTATATTATTATATATAAGACATTATTGTTATCCTGTTTCTAGCATTGTTAGCCTGTAGGGGATCAAGGGATGAGTGTGCATTTGTGTGAGTATGTGTTTCTGTCTGTTTGCGACTTATTTTGAAAACTACTGGACCAATCTGCCTCATATTTTGTTTGCATATGTATGACTGTATGCTTAAAGACCTCTTGTGGTTATTCATAATTGTCAATGACTGCTGACTCCTCGCTCCCCTTATCCAGCAAGTCGGAGGCTGATAATCAGCTTAGCAAACAACAACAACAAGCCTTATCGTCTGTTGCAGGACATATTTTGGCCTTTATCACATTACATAGCAGAGATCAGAGCAGAGCTGCTGTCCAACTTCCCTTTTAATGAGATGCTGTGTGCATTTACGCACTAAGAGCAGCGTAGCTTCATTGATTATTTCGGAAGCTAAATGTTTAGTTTTGTTTCCTCTGTCAAGTTTAGAGCTACTGTTTTTTAGTTTTGCTGATTAAATGTCCCACAATATTTTCTGTCGTGGCATTACTGCTCTTACTGCATTACTGTCAGCAGAAAACTGCTCACTTTTCCTATTTGCCGAATCCGCCATGTAAATAGCAATGCGGCAGGTAGAGGCGAACCTTGTTTTTTAAGGGACTAAACACAACAGCTTTGCCCTTTTTGCCTTACTTTGCATCCAGATTATGTAACATATAGCCAAAGTGGAGTTGGACAAACCCTAAATGCACTTGTGCCACGCACTTCAGACAATGTGATATAGATCATTTAAATTGGGCCCTATATATAACAGATGTGGTTTCAACGTCTCAGTAATCACAAAGCTTTACATGAAAGAAAATTTTTTGGATTTTTTTTTTTTGTACCAAACATGATCATGTGGCAGCCATATAATGAGTGGTAGAAAACATCTATGCAGATAAAAGTCATCGTGTTCAGTCTCTCTGAACTGTCCAACCTTCCTTCTCAGGGCCTCGGTGGCCTGAGACCAGAATAACTTCGTATTCACAAATTAGCAGTGCTGCTTTTACTTACGGCAGGCGGCCCTTGGCTCCCTGTAACGACAGACCTGAAGACAGCGTCTGTGGTCGAGCTACTGATGGTTTCTATATGAAGAGCTGATCCTGGAAACAGCTGTACACTTGAGGCAGCTGATATTTTTAGAGCTTTGTAGCTAGCTGCTGCTGAGGTTTGTAAGGTTGTCATTATCATAATGCTGGGTTTTGCCAACTAGAAAGACTGAGTCCTGAATTTAAGGGTCAGGGACACACTGTACAGTATCTACAGTACTATACACACACTTTTTTTTTCCTATATGTAACCAGTTGAGACTCTTTTAGATTTGAACTCTTATAAACTGGAGACCTGATTTTTAAAAAGGAAGATTTTTTTTTATTGTTCTTGAGAAAAAGGATCAGCAACATCCAACACACAGTACAGAGTCAGGATCCAGTTAAAGTTACATAAACCAAAAAGTGAGGAGAAGTGCAACTTACTGCTAAAAGGATCAGACAATCGAGAGAAAATTAATCTGCAATCATTTCAATAATCAATAAATCATAATTTACCAAGCAAATTTCCCAGTTCCGGCTTCTTTAATGTTGAAGGGTTTGTTGCCTTTCTCTGTTTTATATGATTGTAAAGTTATTGGAACAGTTCATTTTAAGAAGTCACGTTGGGCTCTGGGAGATTATGAAATGCATCCTTCAATTACTCATCTTCCTGTTTTGTTTTTAAAGCAAAACATGCCAATTTTTTTTTAATGCTTCCAGCTTCTCTAATGTCAATATTTACTGGTCCTCTACAAGCGTAAAGCCGGACGTATTTCTGGGCTGTTAGTGTTTAAAACAAGCAGTTTGAATATGTCAATTTGGGCTTTAGGAACTTGTGATCAGCATTTGTCACTATTTTCTGTTCTTTTATCGACCAAATGATTCATCAGTAATAAAATGATTGCTTTTTACAGCCCTAATATTAGTATAATGAGCCTTTAAAAATCTATATATATCTCATATCTTTGTGAATTTGGGGTTTTGGACTGTTATACCTTTTTAAATCGAAGTAGTTGAAAGACAAATCAATAATGAAAAAACTATTGCTCTAGCGTAAATTAAAAAATGAACTAAAACAACCAAAAAGAGAAAAAGTAAAATCCACAGTAGAATACTCACAGGGTTAAAATCTGTTCAGTCTTGACTTAATAAAGCTTCAACAGCTCCAACAGTAGAGCAGCTGCTTGAATCATATTTGGCTGACCTCCTTTAGGGAGAGTAAAGAACATACAGTAAAGGCACTTTTATATAATTTCCCTGTGATCTTCAGATGAAGGAAACAAAAATCCCCCCTGACCCTGTAACTAGTGGTTGCCACTGTTGTCTTTAGCTGTGTAAGGACACAGATCGTAAGGTAACAGCCCCAGAATAACCACACAGATAAAACTGTGCTGCTGAATAAAGAGCTCCGCTGCAGCCTGGGCAGTCCGCATGGCTCTCATTATGTTGGGGTTTCCTGGCTCGCTGGTGCAGCCGGGGCCCACCAAGAGCTGGTTTGGTGAGGTCACACCCTCCTGATGACATCATAAACCACGCCCTTCTTTCTTCCAGACTGGACCACATGACAAAGTGTGTGTGTCTATGATTTCACTTGTCCTTACTTTGGTTTTCCATAGAAGGTTGTCAGATAGATTTTGTCTTTTCCCATACGTAAAGAGTCTTTGAGTGTTTTATGTATATATAATACTGTTAATCTTGATCACTGATACATCAGAGAGCCTCAACTTTTCAAAAAACAGGATGACATTTTTTTCTTTATTAAAAAACATAATCTTTACATACAGTACAGTACAATACAGTACACATACTGTATTTTAACATGTCTTTAAGATAAATGCATAACAGGCCAAAAATGTCCTTCTTGATCAGTCCTATGGTGGCCCTGAGAGCTCAGCGCACTGCAAATCAAGAAAACACATGCAAATGAAGTAACGTCTTCACCAACTTGACAACACATGCACAGCATTTAAAAAAAAAAAAGTGCCATGAGAAGCTGACAACACAACAGAAACTGTTTCCAAAAGACACTAAAAAGTTATGCACACAGCACACAAGGTTTTTTGGGTCCGTGAACGCAGCACAGGCAGAATTCTTCATTAGCTTATTTTTCCCTCAGCAGCAGTTTGTAGAGCTTTGTGTCACGAGGTAATAATATAATAATTGATCAGTCGGTCTGATCAGAGTTGATCAGATCAGATCAATGCATGAGACGAGCAGCTGTCTGTGAGTGACAGCTAACTTTTAGACCCAGTGCAATGAATGCTTAAGTTTCACTTTGACTGTGCCTTAAGTTCTGCTGCTCTGTCTGTGCCCAGAGTATACGCTGCGCTGTGAGAGTGTGGAACAAAGAATAACCAAATGGTATATATATTCCAACAGTGCTCCTAATGAATGGTCCAGCTCCAAAAACATAAATTCAAAAAGTGGCAGCAGATGGTTTAATTATGGCGGGCCGCTGCAAATAAATGAATGAGTGGGAAACCCTGAATAAGCAAAACGCTAAGACAGGCTAACAGCACATATCTGTTATATTATCTGAAACATGCCATCACAATGTTAAAAAGAAACCAAAACTCTTAACATTTAGATCATTCTCCAACACCACTGATTGATAGCCGACAAGCCAAAGAGCTGGTTCCTGTAAAGCAGGGCAGGTCTTTGTTCAGCAAAAGTAGCATTTGTATACATTCAGAAAGCTATACCCTAAGTGGCTAGCTAGCTAACCCTACACTTTTCAGAGTTTGATTTTGGAACAGGGGAGAAAAGTTTATCTCCCTCCAACTTCTCTGAATAACAGGTATCATTACTACATGTGCCCCAGGTACAATGTTTCGCTCAAAATCCATAAAACCTGTGGAACATTAAGGGACTCTGACACAATTGGACAAGAGTCTATGGAGCACAGCCGTGCAGTTGTCGGCCCCCCTGTCAGAGCTGGCCGATGCTATGCTAGTCTGCGCTTGAGAGGCGGGACTTAGCGAAGGGTCAGTTTGCAGTTCCTTGAGCTCTCAGGGCCACCGTACAGTCACATTAAAGTTTGAAACTGTGTTGGCCATAGACTCACTCTGTGTGTGTGTGTGTGTGTGTGTGTGTGTGTGTGTCCCCGTTTCCAGGCAGTTGTGGACAGCTGTGATAGTATCTTAAGGTTTGGGTTTAATATAAGATGAATAAAAACTCAAGCCATAGCTTTTCCTCTGTTGAATATAAATAGTTTGGGTATGATGAACATAGGGGAAGGTCACTCATTACAGTGACTGTTAACACATGTGTAAAGCTGCATACAAAGTTGTTTTTGGCTCCAACAGTGAGTTGTACTGAACACGTAGAGAGAGCCAGCCCTGTAGACCGTCAGTGTCTTTGACACTGTCTTCCTCACTGTTTTCTCCCACCACAACAGTTAGTGACAAGGTACTTAGGAGCATTTAACCCCCAACTGCAGCAGTGGAAAGGCCCAGTGGCATCAGTAGCAGACTGGCTCTGAATCAGCCCGTAATCTGTGTTAATGAACAGCATTTAGGTACAGTTTTACAGCAGTGTTATTCTACTTGAATGTCTACGATGCATCAAGCTCTGAGGCTGCTTTATTTTCAGTTTTCTTTGGTACAGATCCGATTAACACAAGTGGTCATGCAGGTATGTTAGATGTAAACACAGAATAGTGAATAAGCATGTTTCATAAACTCCTCAGGCAAAGAGTCACCTACCACGCTGGCTGCTGGACTCTCAACGTGACCCATATTTGCCAAGGTGCAGAAGTTTGTTTACCACTCCTAGGTTAAAACCATAAGTCTGCATCATAAATGAGAATAGTCCTGCTTGAAGATTGCTTGCTTGCTTATTGTTTGTAAGTACTGTAAAGTGGTCAAAGCAAATTTATTTCTGGTTCAAAGTATTGTTGTATGGAATGTGATGAAAATATTACATTAGAGCCAATCATTAGAAGAGAACCAGTAAAATATTGAATTATACATTAATGTTGAAATCAAATGCACCACACTAACAGAAGAGGCATTCAAAAAGACATTTTAAAATTATGGAAATATTTGCTCCTATTAATGGCAGTAGGATATTTGATAATATATAGGGATTGTTTGTATATACGGCAATTTAGAGGGTGTGATAATACTTGTCCTGCTGTTTGTTAGTTTGATTACATGATGGTCATTATCCTCAGCCCGGAGACACAGTTGGAAATATGTAGTGACACTTTGAAACAAACTCGTTGATCTTTCCAGCCTGTAATTTTTTTTATATTTTGAAGTGAAGCATTAAAACTGGCAGAACTGCTTCCTGGAGATTTGTCTTGCATTTTTACTCTTTGCTTTACATAAACTGTAACTCAGTGATTTCACAGCTGGAAAAATAGAAATGAGTGCCACTACAACATGAATCAGTTCTGCCAGTGTTGGCACTCATGTTAATGTGTTGCATGAGTTTATTTCTCACTCTTGGGATGTCTCTCATTTTAACAAAGGGTGTGTTTTAACTTGTTAATCTTATTTTCTCTTATTTTGTTTCATGATTTTAAAACTTTTCCTTTGTGGGTTATACATTTCTGCCTTTTTTTATATATTGCTTTCTCTATGTTTTGACAAATTTAATGCCTCTGCTCAAGTGAAAGCTGTGGCCCAAGGGATTATGTTTTCAGCTTGTCTGTCTATAGCTTGCATCCATTATCCAACTGCCCCATAATCAAGCACTCCTTGAGGGAATTTTTCAAAATTTGGCAAAAATGTTCACTTAGACGCAACAATGAACTGATTAGTTTTTGGTAATCATAGGTCAAAGGTCTCTGTGACCTTGTTTGTCTCATTCTGGTGAACACGATATCTCAAGAACACCTTGAGTGAAATTTCCCCAATTTTTTCAAGGATGAACTGGTTGGATTTTGGTGGTCAAAGGTCAAGGTCACTGTGACCTTGCATCCAACTCATTTCATGAGCGCAAACAGGCAGACACCATAATGTTCTGCAAAAACACTTTTCTGGCCATTACTCAACATCTTATCTCAAGAACAGAAGGGGAGACATTTGGTCAGATACTGAATTGGTGACACTAATCTTGGGTGCCCACCTTGAAACTGTGCTAATGGTATAGATCTTCTGTGCTGCCGGGAGGAAGATATATGTAAAGTACATGTTTTCACAGACATTGATGTAAACTGTAAGTGCAACTTGACATGTACGCGGAGGCATACAACTCATACAACATGGTGGTAATTCTAGTTTATACTGGTTGGCCAGGGTTGATTACACAATAATCATCCCTTGTTGTCTCCTTCTGTCTTTTCTGACCACAGCAAGCGTCCAGACCGACCTTCTTTGCCAGAAAGTTTGAGGCCAGCGTCAGTCAGGAGATCATCAACCAGCTGGACTCCTACCTGTTCGGATCGTACGACTCAGGCACCCTGGGTCTCCATGCCTACTGGGAGAACATCTATGAGGAGGAGACAGATGGCCTTGCCAGCCTATCAGACTCCATGCTCAGCCACTACCATGCCTTCAGTCGCATGGGACTGTCCCGCGCTGCCAGCTCACTACAAGGACACCCCAATGACAACAGCTGCAGGTATAAACATCCAGATGTGGATTTATTGGGAGGTGGATGTGATGTGGCAGAGTCAGCCTTGCAGTCAATTAAGTGAAGGTCAAGCAGAAAATCCAAAACCCATTTTGTGTTTCTGTTGGCTGAGCCATATAATTGGTGTAATTGCCATACTATATCCACTTCTCTTAGTACATCCATGGTACCAGATGGGAGTTACATAAGATCTAAGAGCCTGTTTACACCTGGTACTGCACCATGCATTTTGATAATCTAAAAACAAATAGACAGCCAAGACATATTGTTGTTCACCCCTGTGTCTATGATGGGTCATTTTTAAAAGGATTTGGGTTTTTTTTAATGTGGTTCTAGGGGTTGTGAAGGAGCACTGGTGGTTTCAGGGTTTCAGGCTGCAAGGGTTCTTACTGATGGTCCAAGGAGTTCATAAATGTTATGAAGGGATGATTGGAGGCATTCCAGAGATTTTTGATGGGCTGGGGGTTTATGGGGTAATCCAGGAGTTTGTGTATGGGATGCACAAGTAGATTTTAGTTTGAACAATCTCACCAATCCCAGTTAAAAGTGCATAATATTGACACTGATCTTTGGTTTATATACAATCATTGTCCAGCTCTATATCAAGAAGACTGAAATGGTGTTTTGAGACACTATGCTTTCACACTGAATCTGTTCGGGTAATTTCAAACAAACACTTGGGGTCCTTGGTATGGCTCGATTCCATGAGATTTCTGGTGCAGTTTGTTTGATATGTGAAAGCAAAGCGGGCAAATAACATGATTTAGTAATGGTAGATATGTGGTTTTAGCAAAAGTTCAAATGAAAAACTGCTTTTAAATCCACCTACTTATTGTGAATTGTTTAGGAAGCAACATCATCTTGATTATTAATTATCATATTTATGAACTCAGAGAATATATATAAACACTTATGGTTCAGTGAAGTGCAGCATCACTTGGTGTCAGTTACCAGAGATTTGATTTCTCACGTGGATCCATCAGTCCATCAATCAGTGAGTTACCTGTCTGTGAATGTGACTTCATGTTTACGGTTTGTTTGTAATTAGTCAATGTGAACAGGAAACAGACCAGGACTAAAAGGCAACAATGGATCATTTTTCAGTTGGTTTGGACCAAATGAAGCAAACTAAAGATGCAAGAACAACAGACTATGCTGGAATTGTAAAGCCAATATCGGCCTCTTGTACAGTCTGTCACCAGTGTAATGGGGTGCTTTGTATAGTCATCCCATCCTTGGGTCAGGAAATTTAGGCTGAGAGAGAAACTGCACAATTAGGGGGGAGCGAGGAGGACTGGCAGATGAAATGTCTTTCCACTAAATTCACCACCACTGGTGTTTGTGTGTGTTTGTGAGTCCAAATTAAATATAAAGATAACGGCAGCTTGTCTTGGGGTACAATCAGGCTACAGTGTCTGCACAGACTGGATTTTTCCGGCTGTGTGTGTGTGTGGGGTGGAGACCCACAGTAGGTACAAGGAGGTACTTGTTGGAGTTCGGGTGGGGATTGGTGGCTAGAATGGGTGGGGGCAGCATTATGGGAAGTGTGTGTGAAGGGGGAGATGAGGGGGGAGTTAAAACAGGACTAGTCTGTTCCCTTTAACCTGTGATTTCAGTCAAGCTACATCTCAGACCACATACACACACTAATGTGGATACATTTGAAACATGGTTCCATCCACATAAGTACTTTGACAGTTTCCTTGCAGATTTTGGTACGCCCCTAAATCCAAAACAAGAGAACAGTGAAATCTCTTCTTCCTCTTTTGCTTTGGAAAATTGTGCATTGCTGCCATTAACTTGTAAGCAGTGTATTCGTATGGAGTTGACACTTCAACAAACAGAGTCTGTTACTGCTTTTCTCCCATTTAGTCTTATGTGACTCACTGTTATCACTCATTTTATGTTTCCACACAGCTGATGCGTATTAAATTTTGTAGCTTGTTTTCAGTATGTATATTTTTCCAAAGGGGTTGTATGTTGTATGATTTTTTTTGACAACATGCTATACTATGCCTTTTTTAATGACATTTATATGATTTACGACATACTAAACTGTGACGTAAACGTACGTAGTTACATTCCACCACTGGGTGTAGCAATAAAATCCTCTGGCAGTAACAGAAATTACACAAACATTGTTGACACGCTTATGACATATGCCTGCAAGTTAGCTCACCACAAGTGTGTGAAGCATCCATGTTTTAGAATTTGTAGCTTCTTTACAGCAGCATCCATATTTGAAGCATTGTCAACTGTCATGGCTACACATGAGTCTGGACAGACATGGATGTAAACTGTAACTGCAACTTGACTGGTATGCAGAGGCATACAACCCTGAGGCAGTAATACTAGGTGTTTTTTTAATCCTTCCTCTGAACACTGAGTTTCTTTCTTAAAGGGGCAAATAGCGAAATCGTTTCACCGCTAGGTTTGCTGTTGTGCACTGCCTGTAGACCTAAACAAAGTGTGTCATGAGCCACACCTCCCTCTACCTCTGCTCTCCACCCCCCACCCCCCACTCGCCTCATCTAAACTTAGTTAAGCAGTTAGGGATGTCTTTCACTCACTCTCGGTCTCTGCTGTGTTTAGCTATTCCCCTGCCTACTTCAATGATGATGGTACTTAATAAATGTAATATATTTGCTGAGATGGAGGCAAGGTTCAGTGAATAGAAGAGCTGGTAGAAGCGCTCCATAGCTATAAGTTACTCCAGTAGCCGGTGGCAGCCGACTCGGCTAGAGCCACCGCCGGATCCCGGCTAGTGCTAACACCGGGAGCTAACGCTAACGTTCCTACTCTTCTCTGTGAGTGAGAGTGATGTTTTAGCCTGGCTACATTTTACAATGCTAATTGTAAATGTTAGCTGGGCTGCCGGGCTACTCACTTAACACGATCGTAAGGCCTGACCCATTGCTGCGGCCAAGCCGCTAATAACTCAAGCTCCGGACATTAAGCCATGCTACAATTGTAACATTAAATTTAATTGAATCGACACAGCGACATGTGCCTAACGTTACTGTAACACTAATTAAAACAGACATTTGACTTTGTGTTGTTACTTAATGTTACCTGTCCAGGAGAAGAAGAGCTAGCTCCGAGTCAGATTGTAGCCCCTTTAGCTCTCACAGTGCTCTCCACCTTGGAAATGCAAGGCCAATGTTAATCCAGGTTCTGTCCCTGTCTTTATCCGACAACTTCTTCACCAACGACCGTTGTTTCTTTAGAGGTAATGTCGGATTCTGGTCGTCTTCAGGTGAACGTTTCGTTCTGCTCTCCGCCATTTCGCTTCGAAAATATGCACTGCCATTGCTCACTGCCTGTAGCCTTTTATAGGGAGGGAGGGCCAAGGGCTCCGAGAGGAGGGAGGAGGCAGCGATTCATGTGAACGTACATGAACGTGCAGCCGGACCGGCTTGTAAACAAGGGGCTGGAGATCAACACAGAGAGAGGGTGTGTGAGGTCATGCTATACTCCAGATGAAATTACACCTCTAGTTCTTCACATAGCGATTTTTTAATTCCTTCAATCTAGAAATGATGAATTTCTGCTTATTGCCCCTTTAACTGGAACATCCACTCCAGAAAGTTTTCTAATACATTTCTTAGGATTTTCCACCACAGCTTCCACCATACTCGTAGTTCTGCTCCATTGGTATGGTCTCTTCCCACTTACTGCTACCTTTAGCATTGGCTGGTTGATGAAAAACACATCACTTTGTTGCGCCAGAATGGGAAAGTCGCTCAGTCGACAGATGACGGCTTGACAGCTCATTGACAACTGTCCGAAGTTGCAATGATGGATGACAACACATTTAACCAATGACCAGTCAAATATTAATAATAGGAATATTCATTGTTTAAGTGAACAAAATAATCATAAATATTACAAACAACAAAAGGACATAACTATAGAAATAACAATGACAGAGAACTGCAAACGTAATTTTACTGTCGCAAATATGTTAGAATCTACAATCTATGCAGTTGTAACTTTCAAGTTAAATGACATACATTGCAAAGTTACAACAGCAGAGCTCTCTGGGTTGATCTCTGTCTCTGGAGAACTCAATGAGTAGCATTTGTTTCATCTCCAAGGTAACGGATATAAAAGCAAGAGGGTCAAAGTTCAGTGCGCAATGTTATGAAGAGGTAGTATGTCCCAATTGTGTGCATAATGCATGCAACAGTGCATACTTTTTAAGGGCAGCTGAAGTACATACTAAAACTATTAAGAAAAAGTATGCAATTTGGAACAAACCCAGAGTTTCCCTGGTGGCATGAGACATTTGACTTTGACTCTTTAACATTTTGTGAACTCCAAGGGCTTGAACATAACGAATGCTCATTCATATGTAAAAGTCCCACACTCCAGCTTTAACTTTTAATGGATGAAAGTATCCACTATATTGCAGATATTGTCTGTCTACTTTGTAAGATGTATTGTTTCACTGCGCTGCATCAACAAGTGAAATTCCTGTGTACATTGTACATTTGCTATATTCACCAAATGTACAATGTACATTTGTTGTATTCACCAAATGTACATTGCACATTTGGTGAATACAGCAGTTGTGATTCTGAAGTATAGTATGTATGCGTCTCCCTCAGGTATGTGGCCATGAGCCACCCAGTGTCAGTCCACGTCTACTTCCTGTCAGACCAGTTCCAGGGCTACCTGGTGCGTCATGTGGCCACTAACCGAGCCTCCACCCAGCTGGAGAGCCTGGAGACCTGGGTGACACCCAAAGACCACTTCACCCTAGCCAACCCACCCCACACCACCAACAGGCTGCAGCACGTCCAGGTCAGACACACACTAACACATACACACACTAATATATTCATATTTACTTGGCCCACATAGACTTTTGAAACCTGATATTTGTTTTGACCACTGGCTGAAATTATCTGTGCACATGTTATATTCAATTTAAACACCATTATGTTCAGCATGTCTATATTGTTCAGCTGCTTGTTTATATGTACATTTTTAATTTCATGCACACTGTTGCTGTAATGTGGAAAATATTTATGTCAGATTTTCTTTTTGGGCTCAAAAAAAAAAGAAAATTGAAAGCCTTTTGTTTTACATTTCGATGGGGACTGTACTGGACCCCGACAGTGGGGTGATGAGTAATACTTAAAACTGAACAAAAACATTTTAATTAATTCTAAAATTATCCGAAGGCCAATGTTATAAATCATTTTTAAGCAGCTATTGCCAGATACAGCTAGGAGGACTGATAAACTGTGCACCCCTGCAATCTGAGAGTCAGAGTGATCCTGACCCTCTCCCTGTCCTTCAGGTTGGGGCAGACTGGGATCCTAAGGAGCGTCTCTTCAGGAACTGGGGGGGTCTCTTGGGGCCCAAGGATGAGCCGGTAGCTGTGCAACGCTGGAGCCGAAGCCAGAGCAACCTAACGGCCACTGTGGTGTGGATCGACCCCACCAACGTCATTGCTGCCACTTACGACATCCTGGTGGACGCCTTGGCTGAGGTCACCCACTACCGACCGCCACTCACCTCGCCTCTGAGGCCTGGCTTGTGGACGCTGAGGGTGCTGCACCACTGGAACCCACTGGGCCAAACCAGCTTCATCGTGGCACCACTCGAGTTCCACCGACAGCAGCCTTTACAGCAAGGTGAGCAATCCAACGTCGTCACTGTGTTTACATGCCCACAAGAAAATAGATAACTGCAGGAAATCAGGTAAGGACAGTACAGATCACACAGAACTGGAGTTGTACATTGAATAGAGAAGTCTTCCAGCACAGTATATGTAGTTAGGAGTATCCTGAGCCAGACACATTTTAATCCATGTGTGAATGTGAAAAATTAATTGAATGCACCAGTGATCAAAATAATTAAAGCTATTCAATTTCATAGTATCAAATGAGGACTTTGAGTATTTTAAGTAGCTCGTGAATGATTTTGATTTAGTAGCACAGACCTGCTATTTCAGTGTGTCAGATATACTGTATATTCAATCAATGTGTATGGATTTATTCAGCTCAGAGAGCTTTTTGATGAAAAAATAAAATCTTATGACAGGGTCCACTAACTTTGTGGACTTACATGTGAACACTGCTTCCATATTACTACTATTTTGTTCAAAGAGTCAGTAAAATATTACTCATTTGACACAAAGTTTAAGCATCAACCTGCAGAAACTCTCATGGAAACACCAGTTGGAATGATATTCAACAGCTTTAGAGGGGTCACTGAAGTTTGTATGTCAGTGGCAGATCTAATTCCTAAATTACACTCACACACACACACACACACAGTAGAAGCCCTCCTGTCACAGCCGTCAACACCATGCATACTCATATTTATAGTGTCAGTATCCAGTCACTCACTCACGCACACACAGGGTCACCTCTATCCGAATTAGCCTCCCCTGTTTGATTTGTTTGACCTCCTCGGGCCTCTGTGTGTGTGTGTGTGTGTGTGTGTGTGTGTACAGGGGATAACTGCAGAACTCTAAGTAAAGCCTGGTATATAAATAGACAGTGAGAGGTTTTATTGGCTAGTGTTATAAAGTGAAGGTGGCATGTGACGTGATCTGATCGGAGTGTGTGTTTGTGACATTGTGTTTTTACAGGAGTATCCAGGCACTCTGTAATGGGTGCCTGCATATTAAAATGCAACATACATGATACAGTAAATCTGATCTTTGAATAACCCAAAACGTACCGCTATTTCCAGAAGACACTTCAAACTATCTGGATCATCCATCTTAGAAGACAAGCAAAATATTGATACATTGTTTAGTATGAATACAAAAATTGACCAAAAAATATACATATAAAACTGAGCAATACAGCTGCCATTATGGACTTAGAAAAAAGGGTGAAAATCTTTTTCACTTTCTATGGATTTTTTAAAAGATTGCTGGTGAACCTTGGCACTCCGTATGTTATTCCATGACTTGGTCACATAGAATATATAGAATAGAATTTTCAGCGCAAACCTTGGGAGAGTTACAGCAGTTTGCATTTTCTAAGGTATTTTCATCATCATCTGTCTGATTGGATGAGAACATTTTTAATGTTTCCATCCAGTGTGCCCACATGTCTGTAGAAATACTGCATTAAACTTGAAAACTGGATGCTCAACATGAAATTTGATGGTAGTTCAGTTTTTGGTGAATGCCTAAAAAGTTTATGTCGAAGTTGGAGAAGGGAAAAAGGTTTCCCTAATCCACCTTCTTCACCATTCTTCTTTTCTTTCCCCCACTCCCATCTTTTTCCTCCCTCTCCTAACATCTGGCCCTGGGATCCAGAGGACGGGCTACGGTTGCACGGCGGCCCAGCTAGAAACTCCTATATGGAGCAGAGTTTCCACGGCCTGAACCCGGTGTTGCGGCTGCCGGTGAGCCTAGGCGCTGTGGAGGAGGCTGAGGCCAACGCTGGGCTGACAGGGGCACCGCTGCGTCGCTGGCTGGACGGGCTGTTGGAGGGCCACTGGTCGGCTGCAGATGTCTGCTCAATGGGACCCAGCGTCTGTCCCGTCATGCAGCGCTGTCGTCTCACTGCCTGGAGCTCCGCCAGCCCTGACACCAAGTCTGAACTGACATCGCCCAGAGAGGACGGACGCATCAGGTAGCAGACAGACAGACTGAGGGAAGATGAGAGGAACAAATGAAGGAAGACACGGGGCTAATGTCCTGTTTGTTTCTGATATTTATTTATTTAAAGTTTGTGCAACGTGTGTGAAAGGAAATGGATGAAACTTTGGCGGCAGCGACGGGAAGAAGAGAAACAAACTCAAACAGTGGGGAAGTCTTCTCCTTCAGTCCTCATTCAGTCTGCTGCTCAAAGCTGTGTGTGTGTGTGTGTGTGTGTGTGTGTGTGTGAGAGAGAGAGAGAGAACAAGAGAGAGAGAGGATAAGTGTGTGTTGAAGCGTTGTGCCAGAAGAACTCTATACCTCTTTTTGTGCGTGTTTTCCTGGGTTAAGGTGTGTGTGTTCAGATGCTGAAAACACACCTGGTTGCTCATTCTTAGGCCCATTATTGCGAAAAAAATTGATCACGGCTTAGTTAGGTCTCAATGTCCTCATTTTAAATTTCCTAATTATATTTTTATAGTGATCATACTTATTGTTTTCAGACTTTTATCCCAAGATGACCATTTAATTCAAAGGTTTAGTCTTTGAATGCAACTTCCTAGTCATAGGACTGAAAGAAAGTGAACACAAAAAAAGAACAAGAAGAACCTCAAGTCAGGCATTAGGTGAAGCTGAATTAGGATGATTTTGGATGATGTACAGGCACTTGCTGAAGACAGGTGACACAAGTTTGTATTCTTTTTAAAATTCAAATTAAGAGTCAACAGTAATGCTTTGACTTATTGTCAAGGCTTTTTTCAGCCCCAGATGTTACCATGTACAATAATAAGCTTAAAACATTATTAAAAACTATTTTGTGAAGATCAAACTATTATCTTAAGATGACAAAATTAAGATTAGAACTATCTGTGGGGGCCTACTGAACTTATTTTTGCTTTGACGGTCCAATGGCTGAAACATGAATTAAAACATGAATACGGCTGATAATTTAAGTCCTCATCACCAAAATATAATGTTTGAGTTCTTGAGATAATGGTGCACTTAAATCTTGGGATAACAGGCCTGAAACACTAGATAGTAACACTATTTGTGTCCTTGAGATGACAAAATTCTTCAGCTGTGATCCAGATATAATGAGCCTTAGAAAATCATTAGCAACTATGGATATTCTCATACAGAGCCAGGTAGGTGTCAGGGGGGAATTCTGATACATTTTTCACGCAAATTACTAAATTTCTGTTTACATACATATTTCTTTTTTACTATATTGGGTTAGCCTCATGTCTGATGTTAAAAACAGCAGAGACCACAGTTAACATTTCCTCTCTAACAACAGTCAGTGTTTGTTTCTTTTAACTATGAAGATGATTTTTTTTTTTCACTACTACTGGAAAAACACTGTTTAACTGTTAGTGGTGGGGTAAGTACTCAGATCCTTTACTTAAGTAAATTTTCTATTACCAAAAAAAAAACCCAAACAAAAACACCATTAAAAGTATATATTATGTTCAGTTAAAGGTCCAGTGTGTAAGATTTAGGGGGATTTAGTGGCATGTAGTTGTGAGGCCTGTAGATTACAACCAGCTGAAACTTCTCCAGTTAAGATTTCCTTCAGTGTTAATTTTTCAGGAGGTTTCTACTGGAAGCCAAATTATCGATTATCCATAACGTTCTTCCACTTGGAAAAACAACAACAGATTCAGTAATGTTAACCTGTAAAAACACAGAATAAAACAGATTTATGTTACTAAATTAGTGTTTTTCCAAAAACTGCTCATCCTAGAGGGGCTGCTAACTACATTGGCCGATGCAAAAGTGAGGATGGCCCTATCTAGAGCCAGTTTTGGTTTGTCTGTTCTGGGCAACTGTAGAGACATGGTGATGCAGCACTGTGGACGCCACACACATGGACCCGCTCCCTATGTAGATATAACTGGCTCAGCATGATTCTTATTATTCTTATTTTCAGGTGATTATACACTAAAGAAAACAAATTTTATTATATTCCTTTTCAGCCAATATATTACTTAAGTCCTACACACCAGACCTTCAAAGCACAGAAGTGTTAGTAAGCAAAGTGCCAATTTTGTAGAAAGGCCCCTTTTAATGTTTGTCTTGATATTGGATATGGTAGGCATAGGATGAGCTGCGTCTTAATAAACTGTCCTATGTTTGTCTTCTTGTCAGGTGCAAAAGTCAGAGAAGGAGTCTTCCTTTGCTACATTTTGATATTACATATATAATAATAATGGGTTTATTACTGGTGGAAACAGCATGTTAACATGTAGTTGATCAAGGTGGAGCTAATTTTACTACTTTATCTACTTTATATACTGTCGACAGGTTGTTAAATCTAGCTGCTGTACATTTATGTAAAATATGAATCTGCAAAGTAACCAATAACTATAGCTCTGGATAGGTGTAGTGAAGGAAAAAATTATTTGTTTTCAAGGTACTTTAAAATTGTACTTGAGTAAAGGTACTTGGTTACTTTCCACCACTCACACACCACCTGTTCAGAACTAGTTGAAACTTTTCTCCCCTGACACTGAGCAGCTCTGTATTCTGCTGTTTGTTATATTCTGTGCCATGTCTGAATCCTTCAGACTTGAAGTGTGAGTCTCCGCTATGCTGGAACCTCGGAAAAGATTCACCTCCTCTTTTATTTCACTTTACACACATTTGTCATCTGTTCTTGCTGTAGAAACTGATGTAACTGTGTCAATGCTTCAACAGCTATGTGAGTAATTTATTCAGAAGTTTATATAAAACATTTTCTTTTATTTTCATTTTTTCCTTCTTTTTTAGTCAGTGACTAATATTTGATATGCTGATATTTGCAGCGGGTGAGATTTGTTTTTGTTTTTTTAGACAAAACATCTGCCTTTGTTTCTAAAGGCCTTCCGGTGTTTGTCAGGACTGATGGTAAATGTTTGTGTTGGTCACTTTTGGGACTGGCCTCCTCTCCTCTGCCTTTTGACTCATCTGCTCTCATTTCAACTACTTTACAGCTACAAGTTTATTACGACCATGGAGCTGAGGTACAGCTACATATTTTAAAGGAGGATATTCCGATTGGACGTTTGTGAGTCTGTCAGCAACAGTTACAATATTTTGTATTAAGTGGTCTTTCAGTCCTTTTTAACGTAACTGTTTATTCTCTAAAATAAAATATATTTTGCAAAAAATATATAATTGCAAATGCTTATCAGCAGTTACAAGAGCGAGGCCTTAGAAAAGTATTTTGTATTCTATGCACCGAGACCCAAAAGGTATTTAATTTTTTAATATGGCACTACATAAAAGCAGAAAATCTTATTTATAGAGATTTAAACTGAAAAAGGTCGATTATTACATAAATTGATAATATTCTGTGAAACCAATCAGCACGTTGTTTCAGAGCTTGACATTTAAAAGTGTTTGAAAAAATGTAGACATCGCTGCAACAGTGATTCAGTATTTCTGTGTTAAATTCATATCGCAATGACCGCAACAAGTTGATGGGCAAAAATTAAATCTGTGTACAACTTTTCATAGTTTGTATATTTATCTGAATAATCATATTCTAATCCTTCCATACTAATCATTACTTATACATGCATATATTATTTAATCTGACTTTCCTATGAGTTGAGTTTGATGTAGCAGGTGAGAAGGCGGAGAGGAGGAGGCCACCCGAGACATTTAGATGCACCTTCAGATTTCCATGCTGCTCAGTGACTGACTTTGTGCCAAGACATAAAATATTCATAGCAAGTCTGGGCTGCACCAGTAGGGATAAAGGTTACAGTGTGTGGTTTTTAAGACCAGAGCAAAACAGGTTTATTAACATTCTTAAGAGGGCTTTGCTTATGGTTTTCTGGTGGTGGGACATTGATTCAACATGTTAAGAATTTTAGTGAGAAACACTGAACATAAACAATGCTGTTTAATCAATTCACAAAGACAACTCCACTTCATGTCTAAAATCAGTGCAATAGTTAAACCTGTTAACTAACATTTTAATTTGGATTAAAAAAAACAATCATATTCTGCTCATAACTGGATATAATTTAAGATCAATTTGCATCAAAAGGGTTTTGGGCTAATATTGACAGCCCCTTTAAGGCAATAGTTAATCACTTTGAGAATGACTAAGAGTTGGCTGCTCAGATTGATCCCAATCCCATGTCTGTGCAGTAAAAGATGAAGTAAATCTGTGAACCCCAAACTCAGTTTTTGTAAGAATAAGCTGCTTCCCCCTGCTTCTAGTCTTTATGCTAAGCTAAGATAATCTACAGACAGAGTGGTGTTGATCTTATCAAATTCTCAATAAAGCGAACCAGTGTTCTACAATGGTAGAAATATTACTTAATTACTTTTAATTCTGTGCCAAGCGTAACATTAACCATTTATTTATCCAATTGTGATTTGAAAGCAAACTAGTAGAAGGTAATATTAAATTAACAAATCTTAATCCTTGCTGGTGCAATCCATCCTCACTTAGTTATATTTTCATTACTATAAAAACTAATATTTAATTTTTTTATTATTATTATTATTATTATTCCAGTGTGTGTAGTTGCCATATGACAATATTATTGGGACCAAAACTGGAAAGTAGTGGGGGGCTTTCTTAGAATGAACTGTCAGCACTTAAAGGACATGAACAGTACGTCGTATTTATTCTAGAAAAGATTAACTATTATACATATAATTTATGATTTGAAATGATGGATGTATGCTGCAGATGTTACCAGATATTTGTGGTTGTGGATTAGCACAGTGTCAATGACTTTAACGCTGAAAGAGCCAGTCTCTGTTAGACTGTACCAACGATACAGTAGTGTACAGGATCAGTCGTTTACTGTCACTGGATTAAGGATTAATAAGGTTGTAAGAGATACAGTCAGGGTATTTTTAACCCTTTTGATTTCATATCCAAACAAACATTAACAAAAATAAAATTAAATTTCTAAATCCATAGCCTATAAACAACAATGAATTCTGAATAGTTGTATGTGGTGTGAGGGATAAACAGGCTGTTAAGATGTTCTCCACACAGACTGTAAATCAAACTAAAGGAAGTCAAGTCTTACTGATGTGCTGAAATCAAATGGTTAAAACCTGACTAGGGACAAAACTACATTTAAGTTGTACATGTTTTTAGTTTTGATTTAAGTTCGTCTAGTTTAAGTCTTGCATCATTAATTTCAGACAAATTCTTAGATTTAAAAAGATTTTTATTATTAGGTTTTATCATTATTGTTATAACTATGGACGCGTGCAGCTTTCATGATTTGATCCATATATACAGTCATTTTAAAAAAAAATATTTTTGTATGTCAGCAGTCATTTCGGCATAATGTCAGTCTCCAAAAAAGTCCCAGAAATTAAAACACTTTAGAGAAAATTACAAAAAAAAGAAAGAAAAAGAAATTAAATTTTTTTCTGTTCCTGCTTGATGTTGATGTGAAAATTAAGAGCCATTTTATGTCCGATAGGTATTTTTCATATGATGAGTGAGTCGATTGTTAATCAGTATTTTGTGAAATACTCAAAAGACTATGTACAGTTTTTAAGTTAATGACATAGAAAGGTACGGCTCTTTGGACACAGTGCTGGGATGATGGTGCCACAAAGATCATGTGACTGTTTTTCAGAGATTTCTCTGGTGTGAAAGACAAAGATGTTGATAAAGATTTCAGATTCTGGAGGAAAATCCCAGCTGAGAGGTTTTTTCTTTGCATGCTTTTTATTTTTGCCTCACACTTTAATGCTGTTTGTTTCTTTTATATCCAATACCAACCTATGTTTTGTTTGTTTTCAGTGCCATCTCTGAAGTATTGCCTTTTTGTTTTATTATTTTCTTGCTTTTCGTTATCATTCTCTCTCTCTTTGGGAGTAGTGCTGTGCCTTAGCTGTACTCCTGTTTTAGGAAACCCTCTCTGAAAGCATCAAAAACTATCTCAAGTGTCCAAAAACAAAAACGAATTGTTGTGAATGCCTTATAAATGACCTTAGCGGTTTTGAAGTACAATTTTTGAAAATAAAACTGAATCTCCCTTTATTCTTTGCCTGTGCGGTTTATTTCACACTCTTGTATGAACAGGTACTGCTGAGGGCATCAGTGGCTCCCGGTAAAATTAAGTATAAATTTGGAGTTTCTAAAGGAACTGTGGACCACAACTACAATAAGTTTATTTTTTGAAGTACTTGCACTTTACTTGAGTGTTTTCATTTTTAACCACGTTATACTTCAACTTCACTCCTCTTCAGATGCAAATGTTGTACTTTTTACTCCACTACCATTATTTGGCAGCAGGGCTGGGCAATATATTGACAGTATATTTAATTTGTGATATGTAAGTAAATACCGTCTAAGAGTTTGGATATCGTAATATCATAAGTGATATCTTCTCCTGTTTTTAAAGACTGAATTACAGTTAAGTGATGTAATGTTCTAAACTTACCACACTGTTCAAGCTGTTCTCATATTTGTCTTTACCCACTTAGTCATTATGTCTACATTACTGGTGATGATTTATTAACAATCTCATTGTGTGAATATTCTGTGAAAGCACCAATAGTCAATCTTACAATATGGTTGCAATATTGATATCAAAGTATTTGGTCAAATATATAACAATATTTGATTTTCTCCATATCACCCAGCCCTATCTGACAGCTAGGTTTACTTATTTCTGTGCAGATTCAGATTTTTACATAAACATACATCTGATGGGCCTATAAAATATGATGCAGTGAAAAAGAAATGTATTCTTACGCATTAAGGCATCAGTAATAATAATCTCATCTAATGTGTCATATTGTAACACTCTGCCTAACACGTAATTTTACTTTTAATATGTTATGTAGATTTATTTTTATATACCAGTGGTGTAATGTAACAGAGTAATAATACTATTTTATTTTTATTATTTTATTTATTTTTTGGGAGCATCTGTACTTCACCTGAGTTTTTATATTTCTGTCAACTTTCACTCTTACTCCACTACATTTCCAAAATAAAATGTGTACTTTTACTCAAGGGAGGAAGGAAGGAGAGTAGGAAGGAACGGACTGGATTTTGTGTGAACGTGAGTGTGAATGGTTGTCTGTCACTATGTGTCAGCCCTCTGATAGTCTGGCGACCTGTCCAGGGTGTACCCTGCCTCTCGCCCAGTGTCAGCTGGGATAGGCTCCAGCCCCCCCATGACCCTCAAGAGGATAAGCTGTTACGAAAATGGATGGATGGATGTTCTAATAGGTGACTTTAACTTCTACCAAAGTCAAGTACCTCATCCACCACTGATAAATACATAAATTCTTACATAACTTTACTTATGAATTTTGAGAATCCATGACTCTTATTTATGTAATGAGGCATTTTTACAACACTGAATCACTACGTTTGCTTTTTCCCACAACTTACTTTTGTAAGCAACTAGTGCTTGAAGAAAAAAAAAACTTATTTTAGAACTGTTTGAGGCATTTTGATCATTTTTTTTTTATAATAATGTGGCTGCAGTGTTTGTGAAATCATCAAAGGGTTTTTAAAGGGCGTTTTAAAGTTTTAGTTTTGGTTGTTGCAATCACTGAGCCAGAAAATCCAAATTCATGGGCAGAAACTGGGTGGAGCTGAGGAGAGAGTGTCTTCTTTTGACCTTATGTAAATAGAGAGCATTTCAACATAGTCAGTTTTCTTGGAGCAGCATGTAGTGACCATTAGAGGAACTGCAGCTTAAATTGTGACATACGCTTTATAAGTCTGGTGGCATCCCATCGTTTTTTCATTGTCATCACTAAGTGAAAAGACCAAAACAAACAATAAAGTATCTACTAATCTACTAACTAAAGCATCAGAGCCTGATATATCTTCCTCCTCTGTGTCATAGAGCTCCATTGTTGTCCACAAACTTTTAAAAACACATCAATGAGTCGCACTGTTGCACTGAGTGACATGTCCCCTTATTACCATGAACACACACACACTGCAGTTTATTTTGACTCAATCCCACATACACTGTCCTGCTGCCCCAGAAACTCACTAGGCTGGTGAGTATGTGGGGCAGCAGGACGGTAGTGACTAGCACCAAATGTGGATTAATCCATCACTGAAAATAGTTCCCAACAAATGCACGTTTTCTATGTTGTGAAAGATTTGCATCTTCAGTAGGAGCCTATGGTCAGAAAGTATTGAGAGACGATCTAACACATTGTTGATTTTGGTCTTTTTATGGGATGTGTTGAAAGTAAAAATGTAGAACATCACAAGTACTTGTGAGATTTCTCGACTCAGATCTTCCTTGCCTGAGTTTGTGTGAAAAAGATCATATAACCTTTCTTATTGAACTTTCACAAATGCTCCATATCTGCAGTGAAGAGCAGCGACAGCCAGCGGTGATGGAACCGTCGATACAGCTGATCGATGACACACAGCTGGAGGGACTGAGCTAATTATTGTAGTGTGGCAGCAGAATTAGCAGCTATCTGTCAGTCTGCATGTGCCTGGCCATAACTTAAAACACACACAGAAGTCTATAGAGGACTGTAATTACTTCATCATATCTGTATGAAACTGATCACTCAAAGCTCAGCTAAACTCATCCTGTTGTGAACACACAGAAACTGATTTTCATGTTTTTGTCTTATTTTGGATTACAATGGTTTTACAAGAGATTTTAAGTGTAAATTCATGTTCATGTTGTTTTATTTATTTGTTGGTTCTTGTTTTTTTAATTAAATTAATATTGAGCTACAAATACAGGAATCACAATGTGTTCATGTTCTATTGTTTTAAGAATATTTATTCATATTTTCCTTCTGTAGCTAATTTATTAGTCTTAGTCAGAATATGAACTTTTTATTTTTGATTGAAGGAGTTGGAAGAAGATGGAGCAGGTTGAAGATGTTTTTGCCCCCATGTCATCCTAGATATGCTGACCAGATTTTTTGGCATGCTGTTGTTAAGATTTTTTTTTTTTTCAATTGTCTGTAACTGTTGTTTGTCAGTTTATTTAATAAGCAACTGTGTGTTCTGGCCAGGACTCTCTTGTATAGGAGATTTTTAATCTCAATGAGGCTATTCCTGGTTGAATTTTAAATAAAATAAAACAAATACAAGAATTTTTAGTCAATGAATATGGTTGTATGAATACTAGACAATTCTGAAGGGTCAGGGAGTTTTTATACTTAAATAATTATATAAATATATTTCTTGATGAATATTGCAGGAGTAATATTTATGACACTGTAAAGGCCATTTTCACAAGGAAAATACACAATAGATTATTAGCATCTCAGAAACGAATCTGCCAATATTATGATTTAGCAGTATTATATATTTTATAATACTATCATAAAATAGATTATGTGAGTGGTGTTCCTTATATATTGAAGAGATAAGTTGTTCTATAATTAGGGGATAGTGAGCAGACATTCTTTAAACCATTCCTAATAATGCAGATCTAGAAATGTAGAAATTACCCTGCGAAAGTGTTGAGATTACTTTAACTTTGGTGTTTCTGCACTGCACAACACTAATTTATATACAAATATAACAGATTACTATAGTAGTAGTAGTAGTAGGCCTAGTAGTAGACAAGTATAGTAAAATGGCTTGAGAATTCATATGACTGTTGATTTATCTAGAATAGTTAATACACCTATAAACACAACACTGAGCAAATAAGGGTTTAGAGAGGGACGGAAAGGTGTTTCTGAGTCATCAGTTAATTCAGGATATGATCTTGTGGCTCTTGACTCGCCATCCAGTTGCTCTGTCCTCTGGTGCACTGCCGTCCCCTTGCGTTTATTTATTTATTATTATAGTTACACCAGCCAATGTACTGCCAGTTCAGTTTACTGATCTCCATTTCTCTATTTAACCTGGAGTGTTACTGCTTGGCAATCATAATTTTTCATTATGTGAAACTGACAAAACATCGTAAAATATAGAGACCAAGCTGTGGACTGTGGATCAAATTCCTCTAAATTAGAGATACATAGCACCACATGACAGCACTCAATATTTTTTAAGACTTGAACTGTTACTTTCAGCAAGTGTTTCTGATCCTTTTTTTATGCCAACAAGCTGTCAACAGTGCAGCTACTGCAGAATATTAAAAATAACTGGTATACTCTTGTTACCAATTCACAATTTTTCTGTGAAAACAAACAAAAAACTTCACCCAACAGGGAAGGAGTGGTATCCTGCACGTTACTCTCTCAAAAATACCATACCTAATAAACAGCCCCTTTTTACATTCTTCACTTAGAATAAACGGCTTTGAACTTATGCAATGGAAAAATCTTACTGAACGCGTTTTCTCTGTTTCACATCTTCCTCAGAGGAGACATTTTCACCCGACACAACAGGAGAAGCCTTAGGTGTGGGCAGTCTCATCAATATGGCTCTGTTGGGTTTCGAGTCACCCAGGACGCACAGTATCAGAGCCCTGGAACTGAAAAACCTAAATGGAAAGCTGCCTTTATCAATTACACCATTCCAAAATGTCTGCTATGACATAAATATGTAGTCCTTTCATTATTTAACTCAGAGGTCAGCTGAACATCTTTAACTCTATCCATACCTCTTTAATAAGGATGATTTTTTTTTTTTTAAAGTAAGATAATAAATTACAGTGAGATTTTAAGATCATCATTAGACTATGTATGCATCAATATATCTTAACTTTAAATTTTTAATGAGCAACAGAGCTCAAACTCTTCCTGTTATAATTATGGTATCTATCTGTCAACATACCTACATATATTCTATTAAAAGAGCTGACAGAAAGTTATTAAGTTACAAATTCAAGATTTTAATTATTCTGTAGCCTTAAACAGATTTTTTAAAGACTATGTTGCAGACCTTTAAAACTAGCTGATACCCTGGAAAGGATGAATCAGGAGACAAGTGTGTGTTTTGTTTTTTTAAACATATTTTAAGAAAATACCAACAGATGCTACTAATAACTATATACATTGGGTTTTCATAACAGCAGGGTTTTTGCCAGGTGAGGAGAAAAGGGGGAACTTGGCAGATGGTATGAACAGGTTGATTTG